TTCAAACCCAGCCCAGGCCAAATTGCAACAAAAAAAATAGCCGGGCATTGTGGTGGGCGCCTGAGGCAGGAGAATCGACTAAGCCTGGGAGTTGGAGGTTGCTGTGAGCTGTATGATGCCATGGCACTCTACCAAGGGTGATAAAGTAAAACTCTGTCTCTCCAAAAAAAAAAAAGATTGTAGAGATAGACTATCTAGGTCAGACAGTAAGCCCAATGTAATTACAGGTGTCCTTAGAAGAGGCAGGAGGAGACTTGATTATAGTAGCAGATGTGATGACAAAAAAGGTTTCCAAATTTAAAAATAGTGGAAAGAGTGAGTCAAGGAAGGTAAGTGGCCTCCAAAACCTGAAAAGGGTAAGGGAATAGATTTTCCCTCAAAGCTTCCATTAGGAACCATAACTGCTGACAACCTTGACATTAGGAACCAGAACTGCTGATAACCTTGCCATTAGCACAAGGAAACTAATTTGGTTGGATGTCCAACGTCCAGAACTGTAAAATGATTGTATTTAAAGCCACTAAATGTTTGGTTACAGGAGATATAAATTCCTGTATTTTAATAATAATAAAATATGAATTCCATGGATTTTCTATCCATCACTTTCCCCCCAGTTACTAGAGCAGTGACTGGTACAACAGCTACTCAGTTGAGTAAATGAACAATGTGCCAATCCAGTCTGTTGGTAATAGATTCCCCAGGACAAAGGCAAAGGTCAAAAACTAGGAGAAAGGGCCAGGACTGAGGCAGGTAGATTGCCTGAGCTTACAGGTTCAGAGACCAGCCTGAGCCAGAGTGACACCTCGTCTCTAAAAATAGCCAGGCATTGTGGTGGTTGCCTGTAGTCCCAGCTACATGGGAGGCTAAGCCCAGAGTTTGAGGTTGCTGTGAGCTATGATGCCACAGTACTCTACCAAGGGCAACGAAGTAAGACTGTCTTCAAAAAAAATAAATAAAAACTATAGGCTCAGCACTCGTAGCACAGTGGTTATGGTGCCAGCCACATACACCAGGGCCAGCTAAACAAAAATGAACACTGCAACAAGTAAGTCACCAGGCATTGTGGCAGGTGCCTGTAGTCCCAGCTACCTGGGAGGCTGAGGCAAGAAAATCACTTAAGCCCAAGAGTTTGAGGTTGCTCTGAGAGGTGATGTCACAGCACTCTACCAAGGGTGAAATAGTGAGACTGTCTCAAAAAATAAAAATAAAATAAAAACTATAAAAAAACTCATGTCTAGACTCAAAAGAAAGAGAATGAACCATTAGAGATGTTACCATGAAAGAACCATGGAAATTTGCTGGCACCATGGCAATTTGCTGACCTTGATCCGGAGTGGAGCACTAACAAAAGTGTCTACAATGAGACAGATACTATGCTGGATGTTTTAAATACATTATCCCATTTAACTCTCAAAGTCCTCTAAGCAGATATTCCCATTTCTTATAGAAGATAATACAGAAAGGCCTTTAGAGATTAAGAAATTTGCTCAAGAGCTAAGAATTGAAACCAGGCCTGTATGATTATAAATCTCTTCTTTTTCCATTATACCATAGCTAGTACTTTATATTTCAAAGTTTGTTTCACAAACATTTCATACTTGAATTTTTACTGTAAACTTGATAGGTGGTATTTCCACTTGGCAGATCAAAAATCTGAAGTTTACAGGTTATATAATTTACCCAAAGTACATAACTAGAATGTTACGGAGTAAGGGGATATGGATCCAGTGGTTCTATTATTCTATAAAGTTCCATGCTTTTTAAATCTATAATATTCTCAAGTTCAGTTTATTTTATTAAACCTACAAAATTGAGGTTCTTCATTAGTGGAAAACTAGCAGATTTACAGCTTGGTCCTTAATCTCTGTAACTGAATTTTTATCTATCTCCTTTTTACTTCAAAGTAAACAATCATGTTAATTTCAAAATGATCAGGTAACCTGTGTGTCATGACAAATGGTAAACACAGAAACAAGTGGTCAACTTGATTTATATTTTAACAGCTATTAACTTTAGAGAAGACGTCAAATATTACCTCTTCCAGGGTGGTGTCTGTGGCTCAAAAGAATAAGGTGTCAGCCCCATATGCCAGAGTGGCGGGTTCAAACCCAGCCTTGGCCAAAAATTGCAAAAGAAAAAAAAATTACCTCTCCCAAAACCTCCACATCCTCTGTTAATGCTTTTAGGCTATCATCCTTAAGATATTCCAAGGAGGCTCGGCGCCTGTGGCTCAAGCGGCTAAGGCGCCAGCCACATACACCTAAGGTGGCGGGTTCGTATCCAGCCCGGGCCCGCCAAACAACAATGATGGCTGCAACCAAAAAATAGCCTGGCGTTGTGGCGGGCGCCTG